ATCTGAAAAGATGGATTAGAAACTTTGCGAGTCTGGCTAGACTCTGGCACACCAGAGTTCAAAATACATGGTAAGATGATTGTCTTCAAAGTGATCTGTGGTTTGCTTTTGGAGAAAAGCAAACTGCCTTATCTTTACAGCCATTCGATGTCTCAAGGAGGATTGAATTATTGCATATCATTGCCTAATTTAAGGATGATATATTAGATTAGCTGAAATAAAGTCATCCATTTTTGGTCAGGACAGCTGTTGGTTTAAGCAGTAAAAGGTATAATTGGATGATCCCTGTCGTTATATCTCTTGTGGTTTTAGATGGTATAACACAGTTGTATTCCACTGTTTGTACATGGGGGACCTCTTAAAAGTATTCCTAAAAACACATTCCTTCGAGTAATTAGAATTTTCAAAAGATAGTACACCCTTCATCCACCTTTTCTTTATTTTTATCCCCTGGCAATTTCCTGTGGTTCAGCCTAATCACAATTAAAAGCTTGCCAGGTTATTCAGACCTCACTCTTCCTCTAAGAATCCGTGGCCTGTAGCTCAAGCTGACTCACCATTTGGCTAAGCAAAGATGTTGACAGACTCACCTTCCAGATGTCTCTGATAAACATCCTTAAGATCTACACAGGAACTTGACATTGTACTTTCCCATTGCTGTATCAGAGCTCTGAAAGGGAATCTGATTACTTCTGCCTCCTGGCTCCGTATCTGAATAAGGTAGCCAATGCCGCAGACGCCACCCAGTGGTACATTATAGATAAGCAGTTGCTACTCTCTACTATCATGCCATTTTTCTCTCAAGGAGCAGCTGGTGGATTTGAACCTCCTGCCTTTTGACCTTACTAGGTACTAGGCCACCAGAGCTTCTTGCTGTTTTAGTAAACTGTTAATTCATGATAGAAATGATGGATATAATTGCAGTGGGCCTGGGGGAGTACTACCTTTGAAGTAGACCATATATTAACTGTTTCTAAACATTGCATTTCCCAATATCTATCTCATTGTAGGGGAAAGTGGTACTTTTGCAAAGGTGTTCCTCCCTGAGTGCTTAATGAGCAATACGTTTTGTATTTCTGTGTGAATACTTGTCAGGATTTTTTTGGTTTTGAAAAAACCAGTATGTAAATTCCGGGAATATTGTGAAACGTACACAGGTCTAGTCAAGGTCACTTGTAAAGCAACCAACTCCTCCTCCACATATTGCTCAGATCCTTGAATTTTAATGAAAGCCTTGTAAACTGAAATCTCTAATTCAGTATTGAAAAATCTCTAAATCAGTATTGGAAACTTTATTTTCATACATAGAAGCTTTTCCACCACCTCCATGTATTCCCCCCCCCCCATACCTATAGCAATCAGGTTACATCTTAGCCAACTAGGATTGTGATTGACACTTGTTGAAATGTTGAAATGTTTTTGTTTCCTAGCTTATTGCAGACATAGCCAATGTGAGTTCATTTCTCATGCCACCATAACTAATGCATGTTGTTTTTTTCTGCAGCTTTTGCCACAGAAGCTTTTGTCACGTGTTCTTCTTGAAAGAAGAAATTTTGTAAGTTTTGAAATTTCTAAATTTGTCTTATCAGCTTTGTAAGAAATAACAATATTAACGAGCAACTTGACTTTTAATAGTGGAAAAACCCTACCAATATTTGTGCTAAAAACACAATATGGAAAAGCAATACAGGAAAACCCTGTGCACCTTCTAAATTTGCCACTTATAAAAGAGCAAGTGATGCTTGAAATACCCTTTGAATTAAAAAATGGAATCATAAATTCCAGTTTCAGCAACTGAGGCTTATCAGCTGTGTGATCTTGGTAACCTACTCAGCTCCCCTTTGCCTTAGTTTCTGCATCTGTAAAAGAGCTTAGTAATATGTGTTCTACAGAATTTTTCTAAGGATTAAGAGATTAACTGTTTAATGTAGTGTGTGACAATAGTCATAAGTCAGTCATAGTTCATCAACAATGGATGATTAATGTAATTTAGTGATTATTTCTTATTTGTCTCACCTTAAAATATTTAATCATTAGCTCTTTCTAGGGACATTGCATTTCCCAATATCTATCTCATTGTAGGGGAAAGTGGTACTTTAGGTGCCAAAGCACCTAAAATTTGAATCGCATAATATTACCCTTACTATGATTTTGTGTTCCCAAACATATTTTTCAGGCCAACACTGACCAGTGCAAAAGTTTGTATGTGGTCAAGTGAGGAAATCTAGGAACTATATTGTCTAGGAACTATAGCCTTCTAATTTGAGTACATTTAATATGTCCTTGATTCTATGAAATTATACAGATGGTAAATTGTAGGAATTTTGTTGTGCTTTTTAGTGTCAACTGACCCATCCTCTTTAAAAACCTTTAAATACTCTTCTGGTCTGATCTCTGAAAATTTTGATCAATGAGATGAGAAACAGATGAGAAAATAGACCGTGAGGTTATTTTATTCCATTTGTCTCACATCTTACAGGTATCACAATGTTGCTTATACATACACACACATAGAAAGTGAGAAAGAAACAAACCCCAACAAACTAGGCCTATAGCCTGTCTAGACTTGGCTGGGGGAAAAAAAATTACAAAAGTGACGAGTAGGAGTTGCCCAAGGCATTGTCAGGAATTTTTGGCCAATTGTGTTGAGGAGCTTACAGACAGTACCCTGGAAACTCGGAAGTTTTCTAGGCAGCAGCGTTTGCTAATATCTTCTCAACCAGGAATTACCTCTTGAGGAGAATTTGCATTTCCATCCTAGATATCCTGAGTCAGAATGTTGTGTTTTAGGTTGTGATTCAGTATATCTGGGGTGGAAATGCAAATTCTCAGCAAGGGATTGAGCTGGAACGAACCTGTTTCAAACTCTGGTTTCAACATCTATAGATAGGATTCCAATTATGCCACTCGATGACCTAGAAAAAAACATTATCTGATGCATGCTGGGGATGTTCTTAAGGCGTTATGGGAGGGAACTTAGACTAGATTATGAAGGAGCATCTTCGACATGGCTGCTGAGGTGCTTTCTTTGCTGGGAAAAGCTGGCAAGAGGCTGGCAGGATGGCGACTTCAGACATTAATACCTCTTCAGGTGATGAATTAAACAGGTTCTATTAATCTTGTGAGACGCACCCAAATCAGTCAGGGAGCTGTGACATGCTTTTAATATGCAGGTGTAGTGTGTTGGTATAGGATTTGTTTTACTCTTTATGTTTACTCTTTTTTACTTTATGTATTATAACTAATGCATAATGTATAAACTTTGATTGCATAAGTTCATGCAATATTAGCCATTTCAGTCAAATGAGTCTCCTGACCAACTGATTTCTCTGAATTAGTCTTTCCTGTCAGGTAGGGGAAAATTAATATTACTGCCTTTCTTTCAATTTTGGGAGTTCTAATATAGAATGTACATATTGTGATATACAATGTAAGGGTTTTTCTAGCATAGTATTTGAGCTTTACACATGTTTTAAAACCATTTGTATTAAAAAGTTTTTGTGTGTGGATGAGAGTAAAAATTTTAAAACAGCACTCCACCCCTTTACAAAAGTGTTAGTGATGCAACATCTATTTAGAAATATGATCTTAAAGTACAAGAGGCTTACTCTGTCTATCTCTTTGATCTCTTAGAACTTTTTCTTGTATCTTGGAACTTTGATTTCTAATGGAATTTTGGCACTAACCAAGTTCAGTATTTCCTTTTCACTTTCAAATTGGTGTTGGGTCACATGCTTCTGGGAAAATGGCTTCTTTACTTTGCTTCTTTGTTTGCTATCTGTACTTGAGCTTAATTTATTGCTAAATGTATCACTAATGCTTTTTGTCTTGAACTACCTCAGTGTTTGAAGTAACTGGAATGAAATCATTAGATCATTAGATTACACCTCATCTACACTACTCTTAGGCTTTATGAGGCACCTCAAGCATGACTTTTAAAAATTTTTGCCTCTAAAAATGCCTTCTAGGACATAGGACAGATCAGTGCTCAAAATTTATACCAGTGTGTCTTCATACACTCTCACCTATTGATCAAACCAGGGTCATTTGCAATATAGCTGCAAGCCTATCATTTCAAAGGTGTTTGCAACTACCACCTAGACCAATTCCGAGGCATTGTCTTTACTCCCAGAGCAACTGTACACCCTGGCACCCACCCAGTCTGCTTTTGTGTCTAGCTTCACTTAGCATGCTTTCACCATTCATCCATGTTGTAGCATGTATCAGCATTTCATTTTTATGGCTGAATAATATACCAGTGTATGGCTATACCACATTTTCTTTCCACTCATTGATGGACTGAACACTTTCATCTTATATGAGCAGCAAGATAGAAGTACCTGCTTTTGCTTGTCCTATATGGAATGGAATGGGAGTAGGAATCCATGTTTAGCTTTTGAGTGGTTTTGTAAAGGATTCAATTTTTATGTGCAGGTGCTGAGTAGGTGAGTAGGTAGTAGGATTTAATTAGGTTCTGGTTTGGCTGAGAATGAGAAGCAAGGGATTTGAGGGTGCTTGTGGAATTAAGCTTCGTAAGATGAAGGATTCATGAAACAATGTGAACACAAATAGTACCTGTTTTACAGATGAAACCAGTGCAAAAACAGCCTTGCACTTCATAGCAAGTGCAGAGGTTATGACCCAGATTTAGTTTAGCTTATCCCTTCCTCCCAGGATACCAGACTTCCTTTTCTTTGGGAACATTTCCCCCCCCCCTCCCAATCCTAGCAGATTTCTGCTATTACTCCCAGCTGTCTAACTGGTACAATTTTGAGCACAAAATAGACAGTTCCAATTTGGAGGGTAGCAAGTAAGTTAATTTCAACACATTTAGGGCACTATAAATGGAAAATGCCTATAATTCAGACCAGTTATTTCAAAATTCTTTATCATGAAGTTTTATCAATAAGTTTTTAAATCAATGGTGCTATCAACTTAACACTCTTGTTTTGTTTTTTCCCCTGTCCTCTGCCTGGTTCATTGTTTTCACCTACAGGTGTACTTTATCGACTTCCAAAGATTACTAACTTTTATCTATCATTAAAATTGAACTGCCTTGGCTATACTGCTATTCTTACTGTTGCTTCCATAATTGCCTTCAGCAAAATAAGGCTTTAAGAAGCCAAAGAATAACAAGAAATAACCATTAGAAGCCTTTCCACTATGAAACTTAAGTTAAATGTGCTCACCATTGTTTTGCTGCCTATCTACTTGTTAATAACAATATACAGTGCCCTTATATTTATTCCATGGTATTTTCTTACCAATGCCAAGAAGAAAAACGCTATGGCAAAGAGAGTAAAAGCTAAGCCCATCTCAGACAAACCTGGAAGTCCATATCGCGCTGTCACACACTTCGACTCGCTAGCTGTCATAGACATCCCGGGAGCAGACACTCTGGATAAATTATTTGATCATACTGTGTCCAAGTTTGGAAAGAAGGAATGCCTTGGGACCAGGGAACTCCTAAGTGAAGAAGATGAAATTCAGTCAGATGGAAAAGTTTTTAAGAAGGTAAAGCCTTTTCTGTGTATGTGATTGGATGGTTTCATTGGAATTTCATTTGGCTTTTTCAATATGCTAACATTCATTCTCAGCTGTTGGAATTGACTCAGAGCTTGGGTTTCTTTAAACCCAAGACTTTAAATTGCAGGAAAAGAGATCATCTTTTTCTCTTAGCCACTGGTGGATTTGAACTGCCTAGATGTTTTAGTTTAGCACAACTGTTACAGTGCTATGTAATTTTTCAGAAGTTTTGGTTATTCATTTACACTTATTTAACATTCTGTACTTTGAATAGTATTTTAGTTGTTTGCTTAAATGCACTAATATTAGGGGATGTCTCAATCAACAGGTCATTCTTGGGAATTATAAGTGGATGAGCTATCTTGACGTCAACTGCAGAGTGAGCAACTTTGGTCGTGGACTCACTGCACTGGGACTGAAAGCAAAGACCACTGTTGCCATTTTCTGTGAGACCAGGGCGGAATGGATGATTTCGGCACAGACATGCTTTAGATACAACTTTCCTCGTAAGTTCCTTGTGTTTTGAAGTGAAGTGCATGTAAAATTTGTCCTGAGTTGCCCTGGCTTTCAATGTAGGTATTTTCAACGTAGCCTTTGACCTTAATTGACAGATGTTTGACTAATTGTGACATTCTCCAGATTTAGACCAGAATCCTGAGATTGTGGAAAATTTTGGACTAACTCTTCAGAGACATCAATATGAAATATTGATTATGAAATAAAAATAAAACTAGAAAATGCCTTTGTCTTTAAGCGTGCCTGTCATCAAAAGCTGTATTAAATTTACCTCTTTCTTTTTATGTAGTTGTGACATTATATGCCACACTTGGCGAAGAAGCAGTAGTTCATGGGCTAAATGAATCTGAGGCTTCTTATGTGATTACTAGTGCTGAGCTTCTAGAAACCAAGCTTAAGGTAAATATGAAATATGCTTCTGACAAGTTAAATTAAAAATAACAGATGCAAATTTAATACCTGGGTTTTGTTTCCACCCAACAGACTGCATTGTTAAATGTCAACTCTGTTAAACATATCATTTATGTGGACAATAAGACTATCAATAAAGCTGAGTACCCTGAAGGATTTGAGATTCACAGCATGCAATCGGTAGAAGAGTTGGGCTCCAAGCCAGAAAATGGTAAGTAAA